AAAAGGGAAGGAAGGGCGACTTTGTCCAAAAGAGAAATGTATGCATTCTAAATTGTGAAATGGTAACCCCTCTGTATAACACCTTAAGAATAAGAAATAAAATTATATTTTTAAAAAATCTGTTTATGCCGAGCGCTAGTGGCTCACGCCTGTAATCCTAGCTACTCAGGAGGTTGAGGTCTGAGGATCATGGTTCAAAGCCAGCCAGGGCAGGAAAGTCTGTGAGACTCTTATCACCAATAAACCACTAGAAAACTGAGACTCTTATCTCCAATAAGCCACTAGAAAACCAGAAGTGGCCCTGTGGCTCAAATGGTAGAGCACTAGCCTTGAGCTGAAGAGCTGAGGGACAGAGCCCAGGCCCAGGTTCAAGCCCTACTACAAACAACAACAAAAAATCTGTTTAACTAAACTTTCAAATCTAAATATATAAAAGGACTTTAAAAGTTGAACAAGATTTCTGTGGCTCAAAGTCTGATTTTACACTGAACATCTACATCTAAACCCAACACACTATACATATTGAGTTTCTGGTATTTTAGCTCTAGAACATTTTTTAAATAATGTAATAAATTACAAGCAATAAATAATAGTTCCCCTAAACTGTACTCATTTAACCTTTTATTATCCAGAGTTTGGAGCATGTCTAATTTGGCCTGCTAGTTTCAACCACATATTTAAACTTTTTCTCCTTGAGATGTCACTAGAAGTAAAACGTGGTTTGAAGATAATATTTAGACCATCAAACAGATATGGGTAAACTAAATTGATGCCATTGCTCACAATGCTTACACTTTAGTTTCAAGTAACAGGAAAGCCTTGCTCAAAATGGTTGCAGTAAAAAATTACCTCAAATAAGATGCTCACAGGTCAGGTCCTGACACTCTCTTGGCTCTGCTCTCCTGCATACTGGCTTCATCCCCATTCTGTGGGATAATCACAAAATTTCATCACATTCAGTAGAGAATTGCCCATTCTTTGAGCTTATTTTAGTCTCCAACATGTCCTTGGTGAAATTACACAGAAAGTTCATTGACCATACCATTGAATCGGGCTAGCATGAATATTAATACTCAACCTCTGTAGGCAAGGATGAAGTCACTGTAGATGCAGGGAGAGGGAGACTTAAAATTTGGCTTCTACTGTGAAGGAGTATAAGGCCACAAATGTTTACTATGGAAGGACGAGATTATCCCTTCTCTTTTTCCTTCACTATTATAGTCAACTGAGGACAGGAGTTATGGCCATGTAACTCATTTTTACAAACATGCGAATCAATGTACAAAAGTCTGTGAGATTATGAGATGATCAAGTCTCAAGGAATCAGTGTTTGTGTTGAAAGTAACCACCAGGAGATGGTTCGTGCGTGTAATTCTAGCTACTTTCAGAGGCTGAGGTATGAGAATCCTGGTTTGATGCCAACCTAAGCAAATCCAAGAGACTCTTACCCCAATTAACCTGGGAAAAAAAAGTCAGAATTGGGGGTTTGGCTCAAGTGATAGTGTTAGCCTTGAGCAAAAAAGCTAAGCAAAAAATGCAAAGCCTTGAGTTTAAACCCCCGTATTGTTCCCACACATGAAAAAAATAAAAAACACCTCAGAAATCATTTTATAAATAAGGATCACAGATGACACTGTTGCTTCCTGGCACACCGACACACAAAAAACTGTTACACAATAGGATTTTTAATCACTACAGAAGCTTAATTTTTCAAGATAGAAAGCTGAACTGCAATATTATGAAAAGTGGCTAAAAGTAGCACCACACACTATAGTTTGTGGGAAGGGAACTAGACATGTAAAGACTTTAAAAGAATTTTGAGCTAAGTCTTAAAATGAAAATAAACTTTCATGAAACAGCTGTGTTTGGGGGGAATACAAGGTGGGGCAGGTGATTTACCTCTACCAAAACAGATATACATTGTTCTGGGGAAGTTGCAAACATCGGTTTAAATTTCTTTTTTTTTCTTTTTCTTTGCCAGGCCTGGGGCTTGACTTCAGGTCTGGTCACTGTCCTTGAGCTTCTTTAGCTCAAGGCTAGCCCTCTACCACTTAGGCACCAGCACCACTTTTCTAACTTTTTCTGAGTAGCTTACTGAAGATAATTTCTCCTGGATTTTCCTGCCTGGTCTGGCTTCCAGTTGCAATCCTCAGATGTCAAGCCTCCTGAGTAGCCAGGATTACAGGTGTAAGCCACTGGCACCAGGCTTTAGTTTGTTTTTTAACCCAGGTAACAAGAAGTAAATGTAATCTTCCTAAGTGTATATTCCAACTACTACTATTAACCTACCAGCTGTGTTACTGACACTATTAAAAATATTCAGGCTGTTTAGGTTATACTCAAATAAAAGTATATTTTCACAAATTTGACATGACTCAATTATATTGTTTTAAATAAATCTCTAACATTATTCAATCTTAATCTTTCAAGATAGAAAGCTGAATTGTGATATCACTAAGTAACACTACAAACAGGTGATTGAGCAAAAAGGAGATACAAGTTTAATTCATTATTGGTGATAATACTGGCATGATCATCATTTGTAGTAAATACATAAAAACTATTTTTTTTAAAGAAACCTCAAGGTTGGAGCTCTATCACTTAGTGGTAGAGCGCTTGTTCAGTATGGATGAGGCTGAGTTTGATTCCTAGCACCATCAGAAGTTTCAAATACAAAAGCAGCCACTTACACAATAACCTATCTTTTTTTTTTTTTTTATCGGTCATGGGGCTTGAACTCTGGGCTCTGGCGCTATCCCTGCGCTCTTCAATTCAAGGCAAGTGCTCTACTGCTTGAGCCACAGCACTACTTCTGGTTTTCTAGTGGTTTATTGGAGATAAGTCTCACAGACTTTTCTGCTTGGGCTGGCGTTGAACCGTGATCTTCAGATCTCAGCCTCCTCAGTAGCTAGGATTACAGGTATGAGCCACCAGCACCCTGCTAATAACCTATCTCTTATCTGCAAGTATGTCCAATGTAAAAATCTCCCTTTAAATAGTCACCATCACTCACCAAATACCAAATATTCTTAAAAACAAGACCCAAATCAAAAGAAATTTATTGCAAAATCTTATAAACCATAGCATTGAATTAGGGTGTCATACTAAACAGTAAATTGAATTAAAATTGTTCAAAAATGTTTACTGTATCAAAATGTGTAATTATACCTTCTAAGCTTTTGAAAGCATCGTTTACCTTAACTGCTTTCTTTATGCAGTAACATCAAAAGTGCAAAATACTGATTACGTTAGTTCTGAATAGATATAACCATTTCCATTCAGGAGAGTATTTGTTGCCTTCCTGATAGGAATAATATTTTTGTAAGACCAAAATAGATGAGTGAATTTTCTGTACTCATACTGGAAAAAAGGACATAATTTGGAGGCAGAATTGAATTTTTCAGTATAGCTCTTAAAATTGTTCTGAAAGATATTCACAGTTCTAAGGACTAAATGAACCAATATGGAAAAACAACAAAACTCTAACAGTAACTCTTAGTACATAGGAACTATGATTTTTCTAGTCTGTGAAAAATTAATACATGGTAGAAGACAGCATTCTCCACTGAAGACCACTTTTTACTTCAGTGAAATTGATTAGGAGGGTGGACAGGCCAAAAGGACAGTATGTTACTGGGAATGCATAGAACTCATCCCAAAATCATTTGTAAATAATCCTAGTTTTTCTAAGCCTTTTGTCTCAAGATAAAATAAAGCATTTGTCTATAATGAACTGAAGATACTGTTTATGGAAATTTCAAGCCTGTACCTGCTCAGTACATTTTTTGTAGTATATTCTAATCAAAAACCTGACAATAACAAACTTACTAAAACACTAAAATAAAATGTTGGACTAATGAGCATTGTTTTCCATAATCATGTCACATGTCAGAAAACTTGTGTATGTGTGCCAGGGCCCAAACACTGTCCCTGAGCTTTTCTACCACTTAAGCCATAGCTCCACTTCTGGCTTTTTGAGTAACTTATTGGAGGTAAGATTTTCTAAGACTTTCCTGCCTGGGTTGCCTTCAACACAATCCTCAGATATGTCCCCAGAGTAGCTAGAATAGCAAACATACTTTAAAATACACAATCTGAAGTTAAACTTGTCTTCATTATCAGAGAAGAGCTTTCTAAGGCATCAGATTATACATCCAAACTTACCAATGGCAGAATATTTAATATTCTAAAGAAAAGGTATTAAAGAAAACTTGTACATTATGTACTGAAAAATCTAATGAATTTATTGGGAGGAGAACATTACAAAAATCACCTATTACACAATGAATAACTTATTCTGAATGTACTGTATGGTTTCCTCCTTCTTTGAGGCTAGTATAGTTCTCCATTACATCTTTCCCTGGCTGTAAAGTAAAAACTGTTACCCAGTTTGCTGAATTCCTCTTGTGAAATACAACAGCAGTCAATAACAATAAAATAGCAAATTTGTCTTTCAAAAACAAGAATGTCAATTTTAAAACAGTAAGTATATATTGAATAGATCAATTAAGGACTTTGTGTATGAAGACACACTGAAAACACAGATGCTTGTTTCCTGAGCAGAATGCAAACTTCATTTTATATCAAAGTAAGCTTTAAACTTCCAAAAACACAGATTTTCCACATCAACTAAAAAATTAGGAATGTACATCTGCACATTAAACAAAAAGTTAAGAAAAAAATGAAAAGACTCAATGTTATGTAAAATCCGAAATGGAGAGCCAAAATTTTATATCAATTAATAGCTCAATTTGATGGTTCATTCAGTAAACTTCAACTTGAAACTTAAAAAGTACTGCTTACCAACAACAAATATTAAGTGCTACTCTTCACATCATCCAATTTTTTTAATGTAACCATGAAAAATACCACACACACACACACACACACAGAACGAGGGCAATCAATCTTCATAGGTTCAAAAGAGCATGATGGACTTTAAAAAAACCATCTATTAAATCAGTAGCATGTAATATCATGTGTAGAAAAGAAAACTGTAATTAAAACAAGGTAGTCTTTATTAGTTCCATTATCTAAAACCAAGAAGAAATTTTGAACTATACTTCTAAAAGATCAGTTATCAAACACACAGTTCTTGAGACAATGGGCAGAATTCCCATTTATGGGAAATGTTCTTTTTTTCACACAGTGAAACTGAGAAAAATTGGATCAAATGAGAAATCTTTTTCTCTAAAGTAATTTTAAATGTCCCAATAATGCAAGTCTTCAGAAATAGAATTTTCCATCTCATATTTGAAACAATTAATAAATATACACAAATCTTATTGCTTGGCACCAGATTTTCCAAAACTAAATGTTTAATCCACTGTTATGTAATATTCTTAAATCATATTCAAACTTTTATATCCACTTTATTTTCTGAATGAAAACTGTTCAATCTAGACTGAGCCCCGCAATATACAAGCAAGTCACAGATTTCAAAACAAATGATCAATCTTTCATCAAAATCCTATGAAGTGTTACATATAAAGATGAACTAGGATTTATCTGTGGCCAAAGAAGAACCCACAGAACGTTGTCTTATGGCATTCTGTGCAAAGTCTTTGTTTGTTCCTTCTTTATTTTCCATTTCTTCTTCTGAAACATCTTCTTCATCAGCCTCTTGCTCCTCCACTACTTTTTTCAAAGGTTGAGAAAATTCTGGTAATGGTTTTCCTTAAAAAAAAAAAAAAAAAACCACAAATGTGTTTTTGTTGATGTATTTTGTTTCCTAATAAAATCAAGATATAATGATTCATATGCCCAGTAACTCTTTGAACATCCATTTGGATTTTAAAAAGGAATAAATCATTAAAGGAAAAAAAGTGGATATTATGTTTCAAACTAGATAAGATACATTTTATAAAAAGAAAAATTAGTTGAAGATCCATTTTACAAATTTTTACACATATATTTACTAAGAATTTACTTAAGAATCTATTTACTAAGAATTAATGAACTATCATTAATGCTGTGAATGAAAAGCATTCTGCACTAAATAGATTTCATATTAATTTGCAATTAATCTTTTAGCCTGTAAGTATACTAACACTTCAACACTAGACTGTTCGGGTTCCTAGGAAAACAACCATAAATGTAATTAGTTACATTCTTGTCTCTAAGTTTCCTAGTCTCATAAATGTGCTTTTCTTTCCTCATCCTAATCTACATAATTTTATTAGGGTATTAATTATAAAAAATGAATGTATAAACATTAGGAGAATACACATGCAAACCCTATGCTCTTTGCTGGGCCAGTTTCTAGTTAACCTAAATTTGGATCATGCTATGTTATTAAGAAACAGGAGATGGAACTGGACCAAAAAGCTTTATTGCAGTCAATGATCCCAGAATGCTGTAAATCCCAGAAACCCAAGGGTCAGGTGTGTGGGAAGAATTAATAAGAATAAACTATAGGAAGGCACTCCCAGTCTTTGATAACCTATTTTGTGGTGTGTCTGGTATCCCTCTTTATGTTGGGTTCATAGAACTTGGCCTGAACCCTATTTCATGTGAATACTCTGGTTTACAACAGTAATTTCCCATCAGGAGTGGTTTTATCCTCCAAGCAACACTTAGCAATGTCTGAAGACATCTTTAGCAGTCACATATGAGCAGAATGATACTGCTGGCAACTAGTGGAACACTCAACAATGTAAAACACGAGCTGGGAGCCAGTGGCTCACACCTGTAATCCTAGCTACTCAGGAGGCTGAGATCTGAGGATCACGGTTCAAAGCCAGCGCCGGTAGGAAAAGACCGTGAGACTCCTATCTCCAATAAACCACTAGAAAACCAGAAGTGGAACTGTAGCTCCAGTGGTAGAGGGCTTTCCTTGAGCTGAAGAGCTGAGGGACAGCGCCCAGCCCAGAGTTCAAGGCCCATGACTGATTTTTGTAAAAAAAAAAAATGTAAAACAACAGTCTATCACAAGTAAAATTAATGTAGCAAAAAGGGGCAATTGTGTCAAGGTTGAGAAACTGATTTACAGTAACTGTTCAAGGAAGTAAGCCTTTAGACAAATAACAAATTCTTCTAATTATATTACACTCATTTTGTAGCACGGCCAATCCTAATGAAGTACAGGAATTGCTTTTCCCAATATCCTAGCCAAAAAAAATAAAAACTGACATAATGAATAGTATTCAAATGTGACCATTTTACTACTGAATTCCTTCAAAAGCAGAATTCATTCAATTTTTTTAAATTTTAACTCAGTTATATTAAGATGAATCCTTGAATAACAGGAAATTTTCAAGTAATGGTATCAATGTTATTATCTACAAGCTATTTATATTAAAAGTTATTCACACTGTACAAATAAAGGAACAATGTTCCAAAAACCACTGAGTACCATTCTCATGTGAAATATCTATTTCCTCCCCCTTCCTTTATGCCATAGCTGAGAGATAGTAAAAAATACTTGCTTAAGTGTGTGGCTGTCTTTATACAACTTAATGAGACTTATAAATTAAAAAAAAAAATTAGGGTTGTGAATATAGCTCAGGCCTAGCATGCACAAAGCCCACATTTAATCCCCTGCACCACAAAGGAAAAGAAAATTAAATATACTTACTTGAAGAGTATGGCTGTGGTTTGCGCCTTTTTGAAGGACAAAGGCAATCTGCTACAAATATCATACACTGCAAAAATAAACAGAAATGTAAATGTACAACATATGGATACAGCCAATCACCAGGGGCTCAAGCCTATAATCCTAAATACTAAAGAGGATGAAATCTGAGAACAAAAGTTCTAAGGCAGTCCAGGCAGGAAAGTCCATGAAACTTGTATTTCCAATTAACCACCAAAATGCCAGATGTGGAGCTGTGACTTAAGTGGTGGTAGAGCACTATCCTTGAGCACAACACCAAGGCCCTGAACAACAACAAAAATATATGGATACAATCTACCTATATTATTACATTGGATTTTTCTTCCTAGTACTCTAAAATTAAGTACTTACAAGTCCTAATAATAGTCCTGAAAGGAGAGTCACTAAAGCAAAAACTGTGTATGAGCCCCAAACTGGTAATCCAAGGTCTTCAATAAAATAGTTGTGGCAAGTCTGAAATCAAAAGAAAACAGAAACTCAAAATATGTTCATTAAAATAAAGTTAACAGTGTTAAAATGCTTAAGAGATGAAATAGTTAAATCCATACCCTGATGTACATAGACAGCCGGAAAAGTGCTGACATACTACTCATCCTAAAATAAAAAGAGATTGAAAAGCTAAGTAAGATACATAATTTTCCAATGTCTATATCTATATATTCTATTTCCTGCTCTATAATTTTCCCAACATGACAGATTCTGTTGCTAGCTTTAATCAAGACTATGATATAATACTGACTGCATGCCTCTAATAAGGCTTGCTCATGAAAACTAAGTTCTTGAATTGCTTCCACCATCTGGTCTCATAAATAAAACATATGATGGTTTCTTTTCCTTTCCCCCTATTGCTTTGGCATTCTTTTTAACTTTCATCTGATGACTTCGCAATAACTGAGAAACAAACTACAAGCTCTATGAAATCAGTTGGTAATAGCAATATTACTTATTCACCCTTGAAATCCTCCAAAAACTGAGCAAAGAAGGGAGCTTAAGGAACAAGTTGTTGACCTTCCCAATTAAGAATTATCTCCTGATGGGGCTGGGAAGGCCACTCAGTGGTAGAGTGCTTACATGCATGAGGCCGTGGGTTCTATTCCTCAGCACTACATAAACAGAAAAAGCTGGAAGTGATGCTGTAGCTCAAGTAATAAGAGTGCTGCGTGAAGTTGAAGAGCTGAGGGACAGCGCCCAGGCCCAGAGTTCAAGCCCCACAATGGACAAAAAAAAAAAGAATGAACTCCTGGGGTGCCAGTCGCTCATATCTGTAGCCAAACTACTTAGGAGGATGATATCTGATGATCATAATTCAAAAGCAGCCCATGTAGGAAAGTATGTGAGATTTCTATCTCCAACAAACTGCCAAAAAATAGCCAGAAGCTCAACTGTGGCTCAAGTTGAAGAGCGCTAGCCTTGCAAAAAAATGCTGAGAAGATGAGTGCCAGTGGCTCATGCCTGTAATCCTAACTACTCAGGAGGCTGAGATCTGAGGATAGAGGTTCAAATCCAGCCCAGGCAGGAAAGTCCTAAAGACTCTTATCTCCAATTAATTACCAAAAAGCTAGAAGTGGAGCTGTGGCTCAAATGGTAGGTAGAGTCCTGGCCTTGAACAGAAAAAGTTCAGGAACAGCCCTCAGCCCCCAGACTAGCACCAAAAAAGAAAAAAAGGGAAATTACCTTTTGAGCTAAGGTAGAGCACTTATCTAATATATTTAGTATATTGAAAGCCTTAGGTTTGGTCTTTAGCATCCCTCTCTTTTTTTATTGGGTTGGACATTGATGGCTCACACCTATAATCCTGGCTACTCCAGAGGCTGAAGCCTGAGAATAAGGAATTAAAGCCAGAGCCAGGGCAGACAAATCATTAAGACTCTTATAGCCAATGAACCAGCCAAAAAACTGGAATGCCAGCTGTGACAAAAAAAAGTGTTAGAGTTCCAGCTGTGAAAAAAAAGAGAGGCAAGGGGGGGGGCGGGTCCGGTCCTGGGGCCTGAACTCTGAGCCTGGGCGCTGTCCCTCAGCCCTTCAGCTCAAAGCAAGCGCTCTCCCACTTGAGCCACAGCGCCACTTCCGGCTTTTTTCTTTTTGCTTATGTGGTGCTGAGGAATCGAACCCAGGGCCTCAGGCATGCAAGGCAAGTGCTCTACCACTGAGCCACCTTCCCAGCCCATCACAAAACAAATGTTAAAGTAAATTGTAATTTTCAATAGTATTAGTTATCTTTCAGTGATACACAAATGATTGTAGGAAATAAATGCTAAGTCACTACATAAGTAAAAATAAGTTTTTTTAAATGCTCATGTAAACTATACCTGCACTTGGTTGTGAAAAGATTAATTTTCACTTATATAGTGAATAAGTTTTGGAGTTTCTAACCATTTCTCCTCTACCAAGTACAAGTAGTTTTACCAGTAGGTTTTTCTATGTAAGAGCCAATTGCCAATCACAGAGGGTGACTCTGCTGAGCTGACACTGGAGTGCTCCTTATTTAGTCTACCTATTATGAAAGGATTAAGCTTCTGCTTGAGGAAATGTTAAGATTCACTTATTATATTTTAAAGAACAAAAATATGTTGTTTTTTAAGTCCAACACAGAAAAGTACTTTAATCATGATGCTTCTGTTTTTTAAAAGTCAAGTGAGAATAGTAATAAGAAACTAAAATGCAGACCAGTGTGTAACCTCAGTGTGAATATATTAATTAAACTATGTAAGGAATATGAAGTTCTGTAATTGGACATGGGAGGCTTAGTGGGTGAGTTTTGACAGCACAGGCTTTGTCAGTCACAAATAGACAAGATACTTATATTTTTACTTTAAAATACCACATAGGGATAATTTTTCCCACACTCCTAGAATCCAAAACTTTTTTTGTTTTTACTTTATATTTATATGCTCTCCATCTTTCAAGGGCCAAGTATAGTGAGGAGTAGGAATAATTAAGTTACACCAGGATGAGACCTCAGCAAAATTCAACAGTCCCTTAACTCTCAACCAGGTAGGTCTTATACAGCAACTGAGTAGCAGGAAACATGCTGGCCATTCCCAATCCTAACCTATCTGTAGGCTTAGTGTTCAATCATGCCATTAGTCACTGTTCAGACAATTAATACAAGTAATCAAACAGGTGGAATAACTAACCAAACATAATTCAATCATTCTACTTAAGAACTGAAGTCTAAAGATAGTATGGATAGGGAAATTTTTAGGCTCAATAAAAGTATTACCCACTACTTTGTTCAGTGTCTAGAAAATTAAGTTCATAATGTCCCTAATTCCTTAAAAGGGATTTTATAGACTGCTGCATCCTAGCTTAACAAACATAAAAGTATAAAAGCCTTAGTATTAAAGAGACCCAGAAACAACTTAGAACCCATACTTTATTAACATGAGATATGATTACTTGTTTTAATTAATTCTGAAGTCAATTAAAAAAATACATCATACTTACAGAACAGAACCTGGACCAAACCATGAAGAAACAGGTTCAATATTCTTCCACTCCTTCTCACTTATAAAGTTTATGAAGTCCTTCTTAGTTCTTGGACCCTGATAGCGCCTAAATTCACCATCTTTACAACTATAGATCAGAATGAAATGTTAACATGTTTGCTATTTCTTCATCTCATTTTAAAGCCCAAGAATATGTTATATACTGCTACCATCTTGACCCAAAGTATAAACAATCAAAAGCCTGATTGTACTGCTATCCCTTCAATAATTAAACCGATATAGTAAATCTCTCAAACCTTATGTGTAATAGCATACTAATGGTATTACTATTTGAAAAGCTAAATAGTTCCTGACAATTATGAACCACGTTTAAGCTGAAAGTTAAGCTTTTAAAGTATTTTTCTGGTACTTACAGTTATAATCCCATCATCTCAGCTATCCTACTTTAAACTGCCAGCCACCTGGTACCATGTTTCCCTCCCACAGATTTCAGTCTATCTAGTCAATCAACTCTGCATTCTTTCCTCCATCCATTGCCTCCTTTCCTTTTTTCAGTGTATGAGTTCTGTCACAGTTACAAATGCTTGTTAGCTCCTACATCTGCAAGCGTACAAAGTCAACACCTCCCTACTATGGATAGCTGAGTAGGGGATCCTGTATCCATCTAGAAAAACGCAAGGAAACCTCTATTCAAAACCAAACATTTAGCCAGGCTGGTGGCTCACACCTATTATCCTAGCTACTGTGGAGGCTAAGATCTGAGGATCACAGTTGGAAGCCAGCCTGGGCAGGAAAGTCTGTAAGACTCTTATCTCCAATTAATCACAGAAAAAGTTAGAAGTGGTGTGCACTGTGGCTCAAGTGGTAGAACACTAGGCTTGAACAAAAAGAGTCCAAGAACAGTGCCCAGGCCCAGACTGGCCCTAGGACTGGCCAAAAAAAAAAAAAAAAAAAATTGAGGAGTGACAGTTGAGCTGTTCACTGATGGATGACTAAGATTTCAAATGGGAGAAATTTTAAGAAAAAAGGCAAGATTAAAAAAAAGACTTGAGCTGGGTGCAGATGGCTTATGCCTATACTCCTAGCTACTCAGGAGGCTGGGATCTGAGGATCACAGTTCAAAGCCAGCCTGGGCAAGAAAGTCTGTAAGACTCTTTCTTATCTCCAATAAACCACCAGAAAACCAGAAATGGTGCTGTGGCTCAAGTTGGCAGAGTGCTAGCCTGGAACTAAAGAGCTGAGAGACAGTGCCCAGGCCCAGAGTTCAAGCCCCACAACTGACAAAAAAA